AGGGTCGTGGGTTCGAGCCCCACGTTGGGCGTCGGAACTTTTTCTTCTCCCCCCCGCCGCCACCTCTTCCCAGGGAAAAATTTTGGGGCCGTTTCACGCAGGACTGAGCACCAACGCTGGGAGATGTCCCGGGACAGGGAGGGGAAAGAGCGGCAGCCCCCAACAAATCCAGTGTGCTACGGGCGTGAGCGTGGCCTTGCCTTTCTCTGGAGGGAGGAATTTTGCTGCTTTCAGCCACCCCCTTCTCTCCAGCGTTTGTGGCTGGTGAAGTTCTCCTTCGAACTCTGGCATTGCAGAGTGATTCCTACTTGCTCTCCTCTCCAGCTGTAACATTGCATTATTTGTTATTGCTTTATGCATCCTTTGAGCCATGAAACCTCTCCAGGCAGGAACTGGATAAATAAATAGGAGGAAATTCAACTCTAGGAGAACAGCAGGGTGTTGTTACCTGCTGTACCGACGTGCTCTCCAGGTGCCTGACAAACCCCAGGAAATCCACCTTCTCCCGTTTACGGCATCAGAGTAACTTGGTGCTCCGAGGAATAAGCATCCTGCTTGTGAAGTCAGGCGCAGAGGTGGAGCTCCGGGGCTTCGGCGCTCTGTTCGCCCGTCTTCAGGGCACGTTGGGTCAGTTTTGTTTGGTCAGGCTTTAATTTGATGGTACGAACCGGGTGGTTTTGTGACAAGCGCAGGAGTGGGAGGTGTTGGCTGGAAGCGAGATGCTGTTGAGATAATGTGAGATAACGCTTCTAAACACGGGGGGGGGACACACACACCTAATACTCTATTTTCTGATGTTTAACGCCACAGATTGAGAGCATCCCCTTGGTTTAGACCAAAGCCTCTTGCTCAACAACAGAGGATGCACCCCATGTCAGAGCAGGGCGAACCGTGCTGTAGAGCAGAGACGAAAACAAGTTGAGCTTTGGACTGGGAAAGCACCACACGGCGCTTCTCTCCAGAGCTATCGGGACCGGGATGTGCATTGAGCTCACGTGAGGATTCAACCCTCTGGGAACTTCCTCCCCTTGCTCTTTGTTTCTGGCTGCCTGGAGGAGTCGAGCTTGGCTTCATGCTTGAGAAAACGCCGGTATCATCGGTTTTTGTGCTGTCAGCAGAAGAACGGTTGCATAAATGTTGTGTTGGGTGGGTGCGGGCGAAGCCGAAGGACTTGGAAACAGCTTGGAGCACGCAGGTTTCTTAAAACCGTGTCGTAACTGAACAAGTCGCTCCTTAAGGCCGCAGCCCTGCAGCTTAAACCCTCCAGAAGAGATCTGACAGCAGGCACCAGCCTCCCGGCTCTGTTGTGAGCCCCGTTTCTCAAGCACGCGTGGTCCGTGAGTCGTGCTGGTTCTTGGAGCACTTGTTGCGTTAAGCAAACATCCATCCACGGGGGTTGCCGACCGGCTCTCAGCCACCCGTGTC